AAACAAAATTTCACAGGTCTGTAATGTAGGCACTTTTATTTTCCTTGTGGTTTATATATAACGTAGGGTTATATTGGGAGTGACTGCAAGCATTTTCCATCTGTGTGCAGCTGGCTCTGATTGTTGATCCCCCTCCTACCCTTGCCCAGGTAATTTAAATCGGTCATGGTAGTTTTTTTTCATAGATTTGAAAAGCTTTTAGATTGTTACTAAGTTTAGAGTATAAATCTGGGAAAGAGGTTTTATTTACATTTTAGTATGGGATAGAAAGCCACCTTGATACAAATTTAATTTCCAAAATAATCTATATTAAATGAGGGTTTTCTGACCTGTACTTTGTGTTTAGCTACCTTTTTTATATTTAAAAAATTAAAAATAAAAATTATGTTCTGATAAGCTTAAAGCTTGTTTTGATCTTTGTTTAAATGCCAAAATGTACTTAAATAAATTACTTAGAATGCCATAAAATTGCACAGTTTCATACATGTATATAATCATGTTCATGTATATTTAGATACATATAATGCTTTCTAAATGAGTTTTACTCAAATCATTTGGCTTGCTGTTTAACTCCCTTTTGTAGTTTTTAATCTAAGAAATTTTAAGATAAGTCTAAATTTAAAAATTACCACATTTAAAGCTTTATCTTTGTGCGATCTAAGTATATGTGAGAAATCACAATTGGCATAATTAATCTTAGTTGATAGGGGTTTAGAAGTCATTATTTTTGGGCTTAGTAAGTGAATTCATGAGATGTGCTCTAGAAAGTATAGATGGCCAAAGGACCATTTTGTACTGTTTCCAGGTTACCAGTCTGATTATACTGTGTGCGCTAATATACTCTATTCTTTTTGTTATAGATTGTCTTAATGGTAGGTCAAGTAATAAAAAGAGATGAAATAATTTAAATTCTTAAATGAATCAGTTTTTCTTTCCTTTTTCCTTTTCTTCTTCCTTTATCCTTCTTCAAGTCTCTTACTCTGGTGGTGAGAATGAAAAGGGGGAAAGTGAATTGTAGGATCACTGTTTTGAAAGAGTAATATGTTTATTTTTAATGCTTTTCAGTTCATTTTGTCAAAGAATGGATCTCAAAACTGTTCAAAGGGTAATTGAGATGTAGATTTGTCTACCGAGACATGGGAGGAAAAGATTCAATCAAAAGCCAAATAATTCCTTTTTATTGAAGACAGATTGGCTCTGTGGCCTTGGGACTTTCCCATACTTAATGGGGAAACATCATTTCTGGATTAGCGAACTCTTTGTTTTAAGTTTAATATGCATTTAGCTACTTACGGATGTTTTTCTATTTGCATATATAAAGTCTTATTTCTGATGCTTTTTACTTAGGTTTCTGAGCAGTGAGTTGATCAAGTTGTATTCATAGATATATTGGTATTTCTTCACATCCACTGAGGTCGGAGATAGACACTAGAAGAACATTCTTTAACATGTGCAACTTGTCCGGCTTCAGTAATCCCTTTCCCGAACCTGCTGGAGTTGAAACCTTTAGAGTCAAAACAGAATATAACTAAAGAAGATTTTTGTGGATTGACTGTCCTGGTTATAGTTTAATTCTTCCTCTAAATAGTAGCCCATATAGGCTCATTTTTTAGTTTTTATTTATTTATTTATTTTTTTGAGACAGAGTCTCACTCTGTTGTCCGGGCTAGAGTGCCGTGGCATCAGCCTAGCTCATAGCAACCTCAAACTCCTGGGCTCAAGCAATCCTCCTGCCTCAGCCTCCCGAGTAGCTGGGACTACAGGCATGCGCCACCATGCCCGGCTAATTTTTTCTATGTATTTTCAGTTGTCCAGCTAATTTCTTTCTATTTTTAGTAGAGACGGGGTCTCGCTCTTGCTCAGGCTGTTCTTGAAATCCTGAGTCAAACGATCCTCCCACCTCCTCCTCCCAGAGTGCTAGGATTACAGGCATGAGCCACTGTGCCCAGCCCATTTTTTAGTTTTTAATGACTTAAATGTTGACATTTAAAACCTGAAGTATCGTATCAGTTTTCTTAATACTGCTTTATCTTTAACACAAATTAATAGCTGAACTCTTTATGCTTATGTTAGGCCCTGGCAGTAAAATAAATACTTGAATAAAATACTTGTATTTTTAGATGGCTTAAAACAGTATGGAGGAGAAATGGCTGGATTGTTCATTTAATTTGTCCCCAAAGCTACCAGTAAAGGCTGTAATTGTGTGAATTTAAAAAGGGGAATCTTAAATCTCTCCCTTCTTATGCTATGGGATTTTTACATAGAAACCAGCAATGTTGTGTACATACACAGTTAAAATTTGTTTCTTGACATAAGTTTAGAGCTGTGACTTCATCTTGTCCCCACCTAAAATCAAAACTGCCTAGTATGACTTTTTCATTTTGTGAAAAAAAGTTCTGCCAATTTTGCTTAGTAGCTGTGTGATTTTAAAGGCCGCCACTAGATGGAGAGTCTATTTATCTCTGATAATCTCAAACGAGTTAACAGTTGATCCTCATTTATGGATTGTGTATTTGCGAATTTGCCTACTTACTAAAATTTATTTGTAGCCCCGAAATCAATAGTCGCAGCGCTTTCGCAGACATGAGCAGAGCAGGAAAAAGTTTGAGCCTCCCGACACGCATGTTTCCGAATGATGTTGAACAAGTAGATGCTCAGCCTTCTTATTTCAGCTCTCATACTATGAATTAGTGTCCTTTTCTTAGTCTTTTTAGTGCCACATTTTTTGCATTTTTATGCTTTTTGTTGGTGATTTCATACATGTAGTGCTGAAGTGCCAACTAGTGTTCCTAGGTGTGAGAAGGCTGTGATATGCCTTATGTAGAAAATACATATATTAGGTAAGCTTTATTCAGGCATGTGTTATAATGCTGTTGGCCATGAGTGCAGTGTTAATGAATGAATATAAAATAAGGTGTCTTTAACACAACACATAACACATAAAATAAGACTATATATTGATCAGTTGATGAAAATGTGACCAGAGACTCCCAGGAACCTAAACCATATATTTCCCCTAGGAGCAGTGGTTCAGTATTTGCCCATTCAGTGCTCATGGTGACTATAGAAAACTACCACTTAAAAGGAGAATTGATTGTTTTTTGCAGTCTTCAAACTCAAGTTGTCCTGATTTTTAGGAAGGCTAAAACTAATTGCTCCAAACCTTCTCCCCACCAATTTACATACTATACGGTTCCCTTTCAGTTGTTAGTTTTCTGTCAGTAGTAACAAAAGTTTTCACACAGAATCAGGAGAATTTTTATTTCATGGGAAATTGAACAACGGTTCAAAATGAACAAGTTGGAAGAATTGGATAGTTATGAGAATGGAATGTTTTGTTTTCTGATATTTTTGACAAATGAGAGTTTTAATGCTGTTATCAGGTAAAAACGAAATGTTAAAGATAAGTGAGTAATAAGGTACACAGTCTACATACCATGGTCAAATTCAGTTCTATTACTTTCAGTTTGTAAGGTGCTGCAGATTTGTATATAGGCCATTTAAAAACCAGTCGGTCGTCACAGAGGTGGCTGGTTTGAGATGGAGCTGTCGCTTGAGGCTCTGCGATTGGGAGTCCCAAACCACTTTGTGCTATTCTTTGAACATCTTTGACTGAATATTTTTCTCCCATTCCTCTGTGTGGGATTTCCTAGTCCCTCACAGGAGAAACAGTTGAAGTGGGAAGCCCTGTGCTGCAGTAGGGCCACCTCAGTTAAGGAAGTCTCTGGGAGCAAGGTTCCTATGTTAAAGAGCTGATTTTTTTTTTTTTAAAGCAAACAGAATTTCATAAATTGGGTGAGATATTGTTGGGTTTTTGTATTGCAGTGGAAAGAACACTTTGGAATAGGTCTAAACCAATTATGTGGTTTCAGTTACTATCTCTCAGTCTTAGTTTTCTTCCGTGCACACTGGAGGGATTGGAGGGTGGGCTATGTCTGTGTTTGGTACTGTTGGGAGCCTGTGTGCCGGTTCTGTGATGTGGGTAAAGCTCCTCACGTGTAAGAACTCTGAATGGTGGTGATGTTACCATGGAGACAAAGATTCGGGGCAGGACGCCAGTAATGTGAGGGTACCTGGGGTATCAGAAGTGCCTCTTGTTATTGCTATTGGGGATATGTTTGGACACACTGGAGAAATTTGGTATGACATTTGTAATTCTTGACCTTGTACTTTGTTTATTGACAACTCCTTTGTATTCCTGTGACACTTCTAGTATTTGAGTCTTAGGCTTAATCAGAAAAGTTGATCTGATAAAATCAGGCATTTTTACTTGTTAACTGACTAATCATAGAATGAGTACATTCCTGTCATTTGTATTTTCAATTATTGATTACGGAGTAAGAAACAAAGCCTCCCATTAAAGGAGTTTCACATGTCAATGAGTTGGTAGGGAGAAGGTGGAGGAGACAAGGAATCCCTGCCATACTTTTGAGGAAGGCTTGGTGAGCCAGCAGCCATGGGGAGGGGCGTCTGGAAGACCTTACCTCTCCAGGTAGCCCCTAGCTCGTCTTGGGAGCAGCTGGGGGACAAGTCCTAGGATTCTAAGGGCTGTGGTGGGCCCCAGCCCTTTTTCCGCCTTGCTCCAGGCTTGTGTACCTGCCAGGCCTGTCCCGGTGCTGTCTGGACTTTTGAGGTTTTCCCCTTTTCCCTTCATCGAAATGTCTTCTGTTGTTACTGGTGATAAGTTTGACACACTTGATATTATTTCAGCTGGTGCTTAATCTCTTCAAATTGAAACACCCTTTTTCTGATATTTTGAACAAATACCTATTTTATTTTTATCTATTGTAATAATATTTCTGAGAAGTTACTCTAGGCCCGGGCAGTAGGGATTATTGTATTCAGATTGGGCCAGTGACTGGAATGTAAGTAGAAACTGTGAAGTCTAATTTGAACCAGTTTGAGAGTTACCATTTGTAGATTTTCAGTCTGCTTATGATAGGCCAGATGTTTTATCCTTTACCTGTAGATCTAATAAGGATCTGGAAGACAGATAGGTATCCACTTGATGTCCTTTTATTTGACTTGTTACAGTTAATACTCTCTCCTGGGAACAACGTTTCCAAACCTTCCAGGCCTCACCCATATCCAGATTTCCCAGTGCGCTCAGGAAATAGTCTGTGGCCTTGATGAAGCCAGTGCTCTCAGGGAAAAACAGAGCCAAGACAATTCACGCCAGAAGCAATGCACCAAGGAGTAAAGATCACGTTCAGCGGATCCCACTTGCCGTTTCACAAATGCCCTTCCTTCTTCCTGAGCTCATGACTCGACCTCCAGCATTAATAGGTGGAGGTGAGGAAGCAGTGGTCTGCACTCTGGAGGCTACTGCCGCCGGCTCCAGGTGTATTTTCTGAAAATTGACTCTTCTAGCCCTTAGTTTGTCAAGTTAGCCTGGCCAGGGTCGGGGACAGATTGTTCTGCTGGGCCGATGGCTATGACACTCTGCTCTCCGTAGACTTCTATGCACCTCTCCACCGTCCTTAGGATGATTTGGAGTCTCCGATCCAGGGCAAGGAGGTGGGGTTCTGTGAGGACGGGGGCGAGCTGGTCTTCTAGCAGCGACTCCCGCATCACGTCACTGAGTTTATAGTCGGCTTGCGCCAGCAGCTCTAGGTGCAAAAGTGTTTTCCTTTTTATCCTGAAAAGATAAAGTCATAGGAACCACATAAGCAGATGTAAAGAAAATAACTTGCCTGAACTTACTTCTTTCCCAGACAGCTATTGTAGCTGATATTCTCAGAGCATTCTCCCCGCCATGTCTTCTCAAGCAGGTTTTAATGAAAACCAGGTAAAAAGGGAATGAGTAAGAGGTGACATCCAGCCCTTTGCAGTCCTTTGCCCAACTGCCTTTTTTTTTTTTTTTTTTTTT